CTCCGTATAATACAAAAGCCGTTTCCTGTGGTTCAGGAATCCTGAATAACTGAATCACAACTACAATGCAGAACAGAAGTGCAGAGACCAACACAACGAATAAAAAGTTATGATGCTGGCAAAAAATCACAGAAGACAAAATACGACACTTTATTAAAAATTAGTGTTCCATTTCCATTTAATGCACTGATAAAAAAGAAAACACTTTAATCAACAGCTAGTATGGTTACTGCATTAACTAAGTATTTTATCCATAAGGCTGACCCTTAAAAGTTAGACATAAAAATAAAAGAAAGCCTGATGCTGTCAGAAAACAGCTTGATCACAGAATGTCAGTTTGTAACAAGATCAGCAATCATATCTGCTATCCTCTGGATATAAAATATTATAGAAATCCAAAATCCTTTACTATTAATTAACAAATTAAGCCTCAACATCCCGCTGAGGTAGGGGAGGGTCTCACCACCATTTTACTACGGAGGAGGAAAAATTCCGCACATGCCAACTGACTTGCTGTATGTCACCGCGTCAGTGACATAGCTGCGCATGGGACTCGTGCCCACTCATCTCTTCGTAAAACCCCCGTTCTAACAGACTTGGTGGCGTGAAGTTTGGCTGCAAAGATTTAATGCCAAGGATTGTCAGAAGACACAATCTCACTGCTGGGTCAGACACATCCAGTTAAGGTAGACTTCATCAGTATTTCTAGTGTGAATTGTGTCTGGAAATTAAAAAAATTGAAAGAATCAAATCAAACCCACAGTAAGCACTGCCTGTTCCAAGCAGAACGCAGGTTTTCAGTCACACCACAGTATCGGTCCCTCCAATGCCCTTACAGGCTCGGGCAGTTATTTTATATTTTAACCAGGAAGTGCAAGAGACAAAAAGCCAGCGGAATGGAACATTACCCTAGGATAAATGTCTCCTGCTCCAAAACCTAAATGTCAAGGTGAAGGTTAAACATTTAGTTTCATCTTGGCATTTATCAAGCGGTTGGAGGCTGCTACCCTGCAGAGCTCTCTCTTTTGACATTATTGCCTAATTAACACTGATACTGAAAAGCTGTTCAACACGAGACATTTCACTCAAGGCACCAAATCTCCTTCTCTGCAGAAAGGCTGAGCTGTTTTGCCGTGTCTCAGGACCCCATTACGGACACATGCAGTCCTTTACCACAGTACCTGTGTACAGGTGTCTGCTCGTGTTTTCCATTCGTCCCCTCAGTCTGCTAATATAACATATGAAGGCGCCAAAGTTCACTTGAATTTAGGAGTGGAGGACAGCAAGGTTTCAAAAAGAGCCTCAGCAGCTAATGAATGTTAGCCCATGTAGTTACAAGTGAGGTAAAGACACTTCCTCCTCCTAAAGGCCACTACAAATTCACATGGAGTAAACACATCCATTGGGGAGGGTCTGTGTAGGTCTCTCAACTTGCAGACAAAAGCATGTAACTAGAAATCTATATTCCCTTAATAGGGGCCATAATTAGTGCTATTGAAAGCCAGCAGAGAAGACAGGAAGCACAGGTGTTCGCTCTCTAGAAGCAGGCACCTTCCTACAAATAAGCAAACGCCGCATTTCAAAACTGCATTATCCTTTTCCATGCTGCTTTTTCTCCATTATACCAGGTTGTAAAAATATGTTCTAGCATGACATTTTATAGCCTTTAATTAAATAAAAGGATGATTACGGTGAGAATAGAAAGCATGTTACATCACAGCTGCAGAACCTGGTAGTACGGAGACTGTAAAAACCAGCATGCCACCAGTTACCGGAAAATGAGAAGCAGTATGCCCTGTTTACTAATGGGTCCTGCCGCATCGCAGGGAAACATCGGCGGTGGAAAGCTGCTGTGTGGAGTCCCACGGGACAAGCTGCAGAGAGTGCTGAAGACCAAAGTGAATCCAGCCAGTTTGCAGAGGTTAAGGCCATCCAGCTGGCTTTGGACGTTGCTAAACGAGAGAAATGGCCAGTGCTTTACCTCTACACTGACTCGTGGATGGTGGCAAATGCACTGTGGGGTTGGCAACAGCAGCAGAAACAGAGCAACTGGTAGCACCGAGGCAAACCCATCTGGGCTGCCGCGTTATGGCAAGACATTGCTTCCTGTCTAGACAACCTGGTCGTCAAAGTGCGTCACGTCGATGCCCATGTACCCAGAGATCGAGCTACTGAAGAACATGGATACAATCAGCAGGTGGATCAAGCTGCTAAGATTGCAGTGGCTCAGGTAGATCTGGATTGGCAACAAAAAGGTGAGCTGTTTATGGCTCGGTGGGCCCATGACACCTCGGGCCAAGGGAGAGATGCCACATACAGATGGGCTCGTGACCGAGGGGTGGACTTGACCATGGACTCTATTGCTCAGGTTATTCATGAATGTCAACACCAGAGGATCTGTCGATCATGCTGGCCCTGTCCAATCAAAATTTCTACGGACTTTAGGAGATAAAGTCCCTGGAGTGCATGTTAAAAATATGCTGGGGAAAACAGTCTGGGTTATTCCTGCCTCGGGCAAAGGCAAACCCATCCGTGGGATTACTTTCGCTCAAGCACCTGGATGTACTTGGTGGGTAATGACAGAAGATGGGGAATTCTGATGTGTACCTTAAGGAGACTTGATTCTGGGGGAAACTAGCCCATGAATTCAATTGCATGATGGGCATTAACTGCTGCAAATAACCCTTGTTCCGAGTTTTGTGTTGTAAGAATCACTATGGCAGAAATCACCCAACCCTACGGAGGACAAGCCTTACCAGAATTGCAGCAGTGACCTCACCTAAGCTGGCATCAGAACCCAATGATCCCACACAACACTCCACCTTTCCTGTCCTGAGTGACCCTACACCTGATGGAACCTGAACTCATGGACTAACGGACATTTTAATGGACATTTTGCCAATATGGTCCATAGACTAAGGGAATAATATCTGTGTGGGATGGGATGGGAAAGGGGGAGTCGGTTAATGAGAATTTATAGAACAGTGCAGGACTTGAGCATGACGTAAACGGTATGAAACAAGGGGTGAAGAATGTGCTGGGTTTAGTCAGGACAGAGTTAACTCTCCTCACAGTGGCTGGTATGAGGCTGGGTTTCTGGATTTACCCTGAGAAAAGTACTGACAAGGTGTCTTTTTAGCTGGTGCTGGGCAGAGCTTGCACCAAATTCAGGGTCTTTCCCAGCTTCTGATACTGCAGCTGCGTTCCCAGCTTTCTCACTACAGACAGTGTGGGGGGACACACAGCTCAGACAGCCGACCCAAACTGACCGACGGAGGATTTCATTCCATAGCACGTCATGCTCAGTACATAGATGGGGAGTGGGCTCGGGGGCCATTATGGGCCATTACTTTTTTGTGGATTCCTTAACTCTTTTTGCTCCTTTGCCAACTCGTCTCCTTAACTCTTTCACTAACTCCTTTGTTAGCTGCTTTCTAGTTCCTTTGCTGGCTCACTGGTGAGCAACCTGGGGGCCGGTTGGCTTTCCCGGTCGTGGTGTTGCTGACAGGGTTTGTTCAGACTCTGCTGCAATCGCTCTCGGGCTCTGACTCGGGCTGCTCGGGACCTGGCTGTGCATCGGTCAGCGGGGGGCAAGCAACTGTATCATATTTTCTATTATTTTAATTACTTATTAGTAGTAGTATTTGTATATGTTCATTTTATAATATATAATACTTATA